TGGATTAAGCCAATTTACCAGAGCGGACCTATCTGAGTTCGTAGAGTGGAGAAAAACGAGCTTGCTGTTCAATTTCAGTCGGCGTCACACCAGGGGCAAAATCATCCAACTTTTTCTGTGTAACCTGAAACACAAAACAAAGTATATCAGCGTGTTCAGGAGATCGAAACAAGCAAGTTACCTGAAGACAGCTTCGTCGGATTGCCGCCCACGCGCCGCCTCACCAGGGATGCCTCGACCTGCTGGTAATGGGTATGGCCTTCGTTTGTCCAACCGAGCTTTGGTTTGTGAGTAATTGAAGAATTTCAGATTCGGGTACAATACGCGAAAATCAACCGATTTTGAGCCGATTTTTGCCAATCACGCTCTGATACCAGATGTTAGGATCTTCCTCTAGCTGCTCAAGGTGATTTTCGGGCTCAGTTAACCTTTAAAACACCTAATCAACACCAAAACCGAAGGTACCCGACCGCCGCCTCACGTTCTACCTATGGTTGCTTCTTCTTCCTTTTGCTTGTTGTTTGCTCACTCACAAAGGATGAATACCACATAGGTAAGGGTCACAAAGACACAAGCAAGAGATAGAGAAGATCAATCAGTAGGGTGCATGAAGAAGAAGGCAGCCTCTCTCTCTCTCTCGGGTTCTTTCAAAACGGGACAAATAGAAGGCAAGAGAGTTACCAATATATATAGTAGACCAATGACAAACTAAGGTAAGTTATACATATGGTAAGTAGGCTCGACTAGGGTTATGGCCCAATAGCACACCAACAAGCCACAAAGGTTTATTAGCCATCCAATAGGTAAAACAACGTTAAGTCGGGTTATCCCATTATTCGGTGTTAATTTATCGTTCAGTCATTCATGTCGACTAATAAAACTGGTTTACATCATCGTCCGGGAGGTCGTTTGACAACATGATGTCTAACACAGTGCTTATTAACATTCTTATTTTTATTTTATGACATTTGTAGTATGTTTTTGCTTGATATTTTGTTGCTACTTGCAAGTGTGAATTTACCGCTAACCGTGGGAGTGAAAGTTCTTATTGAATTACTCGTCTAATAAGCATTTTCAATACTATTAGTTAAATTTTATGAGACAATGATCATAAATAAGAAAAGGGTGCAATTACTTTTCTGGACTCTTATAACTTTTATTTCTAGGTAGTTCTGAATTAATTTCAAATATAAATGCAAGTTATTACATCATGTATAGTATTATTAGTTTACCACAATCGATATAGAATATATTTTGATAAAAGTCGATGAAATGTATGATTGAAAAGATGTATGTCCTATGAAACATATGATTAAAATTATCCGTCATTGATTAATTGTTGTCTAGGTTAAAAATCAATTATCCAATTTTAATAATCATATGAAGCACTAAAATTTCCACCATTTTCATATAAAACACTAAAATTATCAATTACCACTTTTCATATATTATAGCCCTGCGTTGAAATTCAGTGATCCGATATTAATCAATAGCCTCTTTCGAGGTCAATATATAATATTATTTACTTAATTATCTCTAATTAACCTACGAATATATAAGCATGAGCTAAATCACAAAGATCACTACCCAGCAATTTCATAGAGCATAATGATATATTCATCTATAATAGGACCCTATGTTGTTTACTATTCTATACTAATTTATATCAAATCTTTCGAAAGCAATAGTAAATTACAAACACATTCTAATAATGATTAAGCTCAAAACGAAATAAGGGAATAATAAATAATCAATCCTCAAAATAAGAATTAAATTAAGAGTAATATTATTCATAGTCAGCAACTGTCAATAGTCATCTTATGTGATAGCTTGTTATTAGTTTGTTATTCGTTAATGCCTCAAATAATAAGTTATCACGTAGGATGACTATGAATAACATTATTCTTAAATTAAAGCCATGATCAACATTAATTTATCCCTAGATGTTCCTTGGACTTTCATCTAAAAGAACTTCAGAAAATGAATTCCCATTACTTCTAATTAGGACTAAGCAAACAAATAAAACAAATAGATATAATTAAAATTATACCATTTAAATATGAAGTCAAATAACACTAAACAGATTTATATCAGAATCGAAATCTGAATCACACAAAATTTGTTTTACAATATGTTGTTGACCTATGAATCAATCTCTCTGTGTTTATCCTTTCATTTTAAAAACTTCCTTGAACACTATCTGTTTTTAAGTAAACGTATCTATGCCTTAATCAATCGAAAGAGAACTTTGAATTACTCATCCATACATTGTAAGTTGGGTGGTATTTAGCCATAGAAAACTAAGAACAGTCATACAATTCCTTATAAATCCCATTATAGTGTGTGTTTGTGTGTGTATTCTTTGTTATGAATCCCATTATTAGAACGAGTAATTGGATTAGAGCCCTCGCATACAATCAATGCCTAGTTTCCACCTTATAGACAAAAACACTCCACAAATACAATTCATGCATGGAATCAACACATATTACTTCTACAAATTCAATCACTCCAAAACTAATTCGCGCACATTGGTTAAGTGATTGATATATTTCTTTCAACCATTGAAGAAAATGCAACTTAAGTTAGTGAGAATAATCAAATTAGAAAAGCAGTCATTTTTGCCCCCACCTAATTATCAAAACTCGAATGAGGATGAAACATACACACAATGTCACAGAAAATATTGTAGATATTTTAACATTTGTAATTTTATATATTTTGATAGTGCAGTCTTTTGCCTTTAACGAAAAAAAAAAAAAGAAAAAAAAGGAGACTAATCATTAGATTTGATGGTTTAGGGTAGACTAAACATAATCTAACTATTGGGGGTTGAAAAATATATGTTCGAGCAGGTCCCAGCAGTAGCTTTATAAAGTTTTGTACTCAATTACAATTATTTTGAAAGATTCAGACTAAGGTTGAGGATCTAAATGTGCAATTAAACTATCTATGGCATGATGAGACTTGGATTGAAACTCCCAGTCTAGTACTTAATTAGAGGGCTTAATGGGGCCTTTTCTTTGCAAAAGAAAACTGGAAAAAATTGCTTGATTTTTCTTGATTCTTCAACTCTAAATTTGGGGAATTTTTTTTTTTTTTTTTTTTTTTTGTACATAGCTCTTGTTTCGATAGAAATTAAAATTCAGATTTTCATTTTAGTCAAAGTCAACAATTAGTTTTAATTATATATTTCATTGGATCTACAACTTTTCCACTACACATTTTCTTAAATTCTATCAAAATCTACTACAAGTCTGATTTTTAATTCCTAAAAACAGAGCTTAATTGAAAAGGTGCCAATATATCGTGTAGTCTATATTTTGAGGATATCATAGAAGACTTGATGGTTGGAAGTGTCGAGTTCTTGAATTAAAAGTTGGAAATTCATGAATTAAAAGCCGGTGGTTAGTGATCAAAATCTAACCAAGAAATTGAATATTGATTTGAACAAATTTTAAATCCATCTTTTACATTCACGTGAACATCTAACAATAATTGAATCAAAGAAAATATTTATTTATTTCCTGGCTAATTCTTGTTCCAGTTTCCAAAAGCAGCAACACAATTCCACATCAGTCATTTCAGCAAAAGCTCTCAAAACGAAGGGCCTTTGCAACACTATTGTCAATGGAGCAACCAGCAAGTCCCCATTGGAGATGTCATTAGTGCAACACTATCACTCGCTAAAGAACTTGAATCAAATATGCTTTCACTTGGAGCTGTGACAATGGCACATTACAAACGAAATTAAACGCTGCCTTAGATACGGTGTAAGCCTTGAACTTTCAAACTTTGGCGAAACTTTTCCTCTTGCTAATTTGGCCAAGAAACTGTCCCAATAAGTATCTATTTGCTTGGCAACAACGGCACAAAAAGTGAGGCCGTGGAGCTTGCTCGGTATTTTATGTACGATGATGAGTGAGATGAGAATCATTTATTTTTGGTGTTTAATCTTGTAATAATGCTGGAAAAATGTAATTAAAGCTTTATCATCTGCCTCAATTTATTATATATATAGACTAGTCACAGCAAATTTTGGGTTTTTCCTATAGTATCCATAAATTTTCATCTTCAACACCAGTTTTGTGTTTCTTTATCAGATAATGGAGCAAGGAATAAAAGAAATTAATTTTCCAAACAAATTGTCCGAAATAAAGATTATTTAAGAAAAATATGTTTTTTTTGCCAAATTCCAGTGGATGGATGACCACTCCCCCGCCTGGCCTCCAACCCCCTCTGCCACTAGTTAAAGGGGTAACCTCGTGGTTAGGGTTTTCAATAAGCAATGATCAACATTCTCATTTTCCTAGCTAGGTTTGGTTTCAAAACCATGTTGATTAAAAGTAGTACACTTAATAGAATTTATGTTACTTCTAGTGTGACATGGCCGTACAATATTTGGGAGAGCAAGGACAAAACGGGGATAAAGGAATATTATCCTTGATCAAGTCTAGCAATTAATAGGGGAGAGGGGGGTATGGTTTAAGAATTGTTCGATAGGATGGTACATTTTTTACTTTTTCAATTGATCTTACATAACATGTACGAGTTGTCTATGTTTGATAAGTTTCATGCTAACAGAAAGAACACTCTCTTTTCATACCACTCGAAGTATTCATCAAGAGTCAATCGAGCTGAGATTAAGGTCTATTATCAATTTTTTTTTTTTAACGGTTCTAATTAGACTCTTAATGGTTTCGCTTCATAATTGTTTGCAATTTCACCATACACAAAGGGGCATAAATAAACTAGCGGGGAGTTCCTGGTAGTCTGGATCCTAGTAATGTTCGTCTACTCTTTTTTCTTTTACAGATCTTAGTTGGTCTCCGTTCGAAAGACTCGACATCTTTGTTGAAGAGTTATGTAATTTTTGAGTTGTTCACCGGAATTTCATGATCATAGTAAATATTGTTAATTCCAAAACAATTAATTATCTAGTACCCTAGATATAAGCAAACAGGGTCGAAAAAAATGACAAAAGTAGACAGTCAAGCCTCTAAAAAATATTGCAAGCCTCAATATTGAACTTCATCAATAAATACTAAAGTCTTTTCCCCAAGTATTAAATTATACAAATGCATAACATTTCTATCCAGTAATCTGGTAATAACTTGATCTAAAAATATACATGAGCCAAACATTAGAATCCAGTAATATTTTCAGTTCAATGGGCATGTTTTGCTCAGTCTTCAGAGAAAAATGGGCCAGAAAGACTATTCATTACAGCCAACTGCATGTTTTCTGATGGCTTCCAGTGCCTCTTCCTTTGATTTATAAACCAGTTGTTGATTTGCTTCTGGTCCAAACCAGTTGATTCGGACAGAGAGATTTTATCAGCTTCCTGTATGTGAAATTTGAACGCGTAATAAAATGTTAAAAAGTAACAAAAACTCCCATTGCAAAGTTTTGTTGAATGCCTTAATCCCGTTTGGTCCTATCCAAACATACCCTGAATGTATTGTGCACAATTTTGCCAAAGAGTTGAGAAAACAAATTTGTGCGAATGCAAGGCTGAATGTATACTAACCGTTGGATAGGGCCATTTATCGTGAACCTTCCACCATTCAAGCAATGTTTGCCTTGCCTCTTTCGGTAGCTTTCCTTTCTTTTTCTTCTTTGAAAATTCTAGCTTTAGGCTACTTATATGATTACCGTACTTTTCCAAGAGTCTATCCTTGAGCTCCTGATTATCACTTTTAGCCTGTGTGTCTTGCACTTCTGTTTCTCCTCCACTGAACTCCTCGTCTGAGGATAGACCACCATCATCTAGCCAAAGAATTAAAAAGGGTAACCATAGATGATGGTTTTGTTACTTCGAGCAAAAATCAACATAGTCCGCATAATCAACATTGGAGCACAAAATAAAGCCAACAACAAGTTCAACAAGACGTGCCATGAAAAAATCCTGGATCCTCTCCAATCTCTCCTTCTTAAAGTGACTTAGCCCCTATTTTGACAACCATTGCTTGGGACAATCAATATTTTGAATAATGATTTTTAGAAAAATGTGTGATTAAAAGTAGGAAAAAATTATTTGGTTTAAATGCAGAATATTTTATCTCGTTATGTGAGATTGAAAATAAGTATGTAAAAAAAGTGTTTAAATAATGGTTATCAAACATGGGATTAATTAGTACTATACAAAGCTTAATGACAAATATCAAATATTTGTAAGAACAGAACTTCAGAACCCGGGATTAAATCCGAGATCGAGGTGGCAACACCTCAGCCCTTGATCTTCAATCATGTGGGGGCTACGTGATTCACACGGGGGTCGAGGTTTTGCCAGCTCGGCCCCTAGATTCAAACACAGGATTTTATCCCTGTTTGAGCAGCAATTTCCTATTTGTAAATGTTTTTTAAGTACATAACAAGTCATAAGAAGTAATTGAAATCAAACAAAAAAATATACCCTCAAGTTTGCTTGAATATGATATGGATAATCATTGCATACATTTAAGTTAATGAAATTGAAATATTTTACGTATATATATGGACAAGTACATAAAGAGCAAGCTCTAAATGCAAAAACTAAACATAATGCATTTACCATTTCATTGTGCAAACCACAACTGCGCATGGGACCAATACCAAAATGCATCAACACCTCTTAGCATGAAAGAAGATCGTATTATTGTTTCAATATCTCGTCTAAAAGCTTAATTCGCTAGAAAGTTTCCACATTAAATTTGACTTTTCAACAACTCTGCTCTCTTGCATACCGAATTCATAATACATCAAAAAAATATAACATGTGCACGGTTTTCATAAATGAATAACACACTTGAACTTGGACCTATATTCTATATCATACTTTGCCATTGTTTGATAACCATTATTTTTAAACTTTTTTTTCTACATATTTATTTTTAACCGCACATTCTGCACGTAAACTAAAAGATTTTTCTTATTTTTTTTATTACACATTTTTCAAAAAATCACTATTCAAAATTCTGTTTTTCCAAAATAACGATTGTGAAACAGGGCTTGGTGATTTTAAAATGGCTACGTTGAATCAGTAATAATATTATAGTAATTTTTATTTGGCCTTTTTTTCTATAATTTTTAATTATGTATTTTTATGGGTCCCGGTTCCTAGACAACTATGTCGTGCCTGAGCAGACTGTAAGACAAATCTTATCGAAGAGACAGCACCAGAAAATCAATTGTATGGAACTCCATAACCCCAATGCCCCACACAGTTTCTTTATCTAAATGCCCACTGAAGTGGGTGGTGAATTTGGTCAATTTTTTGTTCCCACCAAAAAGAGAACAATATGGGATATGTGGGGCATCAAATAAGTGATTAAAAAATAAGCATTTAAGTATCAAATAAGTGATTCGGCCTGGCCTTTGATAAAAAAATGAGATTCAGATGAAGGGTCGAGGTGACTCATGTCCTGTTGATAGGGTCTGTGATTTGACTCTGTTTGAATGGCCAAACCCTAAAATGTTTGGCTTCAACTTCTCTCCATTTCTTTTCAAATGGCCTATTCGATAGTGATTTTGAGAATCAATTTTTTCACCATTAAAGAGAAAAGTGAATTCCATCTGTGAATGTATAAGTTAAAAATAACGACTGACTTAGAAAAATAACGATCAAAAAATTAATTTTTTGGTGAAAAATCAAAACCAAACGGAGGCCAATTGCTATGACCTTCATAAGTTGCTTATTTTATCCTAGGACGTTTTCTCACTATGATGGAAAAAGAACTAAAATTGCTGAATAAAATAAAGCAAAATTACAATCTTTTTATAATGTGAAGTCAAAGTTAATTATTAATTTTATTTACATATTTTGTGAAACCCATTACACTTAATCTCAATCAAAATATAATTTCTACCGAACAAGCACTAAAAAATGGGCTATACAAAACCGATTATTGGCTAATTATATTTTTTTTTCCTTGTTTGGTAAGATAGAGGAGATACATTATTAAACAATCCCTTGTTTGAGCCCCATTTTGGGAGAAAAATGTATTTTTAAATAGTATATTGATGAAAAATATAAGATTAAAACATAAGAAAATTTTTTAAATTTGTGTATAATATTATTTTATTGAAAAATGTATGATTGAAATGATGTCAAAACTCAAAACAATGTTTAAATATGCATGAGGCTCAAATAAATTAAAGTAGAAGATGACACAATTTATTCATTATAACCCATCTAAAACAAAACACCAAACACGTCAAAGGTTAATTTTAAATCAAGGTATCAATTATTCGAGGGGAAAAAAATAAAAGAAAATAATTAAACCGCAATCTCAAATGTACATAAAAGGAACTGAAAACGCTATTTGGCTAAAAACACGTTTTATTTATATCATCCGGCACGAAGGCCCATGACTAGCCAAAAGAGGTTTTGTTTATCAACAAACTCAGTGCGTTTACAGAGTAAAATGTGTTTGATTTGAAATCTGAAGTGGGCCAACCCGAAGCGCAAAACCCGGGCGTCCATATAAGTTAACCACCCGTCCTATCCGGGCTACCCAATAAAGTTTAGGGTACCCCACCTTTTCTGTCTATCCATATGCCCTCACTATATACTCCTGCACACTTCTATGGACCCTCCTCTCTACTATTCATCTATCATCTACATGTCCCTCCCTATTCATTTAGAGTGTGTTCGAGAAGTGTCACAACTCGACTTTAATTGACACGATTATAAAGAAAATGATATTAAATCTTACGAGTCAAAGTTTGTCGTCTGGTAACAAAGAGGATCCTCGGTTTGAATGGTTCACAAACTCTGATGACCATTTACCAATAACGACTCTAAGGAAGGAAAGTGGTTACTTTGATAAAAACCCGTAGGAAAAAGTCCTTTCGGAGTTTTAACCAAAGGGCCTGAGCCTAGGAACGTCCTGTTCCCAAGGGGAAAAGAAACGCTTAACCTTGATTGTCTACCATTCTCCAAATTTTTTTTTTTACCAACTTATTTTCAATCACACATTCTCCCAATGAAATATTTTGCACGTAAACTCAAAATTTTTTCTACTTTTTAAACTCACATTCTCCAAAAATATCACTATTTCAAAACTCATTTTCCCAACTCTTTTTAGTAAAACAGGGTTTTAATAATCTTCCCAAAAGCGAAATGATGGCTAATTTTGGTAGTGTGCAATACAACTACATCTAACATAGCACAAGCATCATAATATGCTTGAATTCTAAACTTGTGCACAAATCAATAATCATATCAAGATACAGTAACAAAACTATACAAGAAGGTCCACATAAACATGACCAAATGAGAGGAGACAGTAAATAGATTTGTAAGATAAAATATCCCAATGATAAATCTAATATGTACTATCAGCTAAGACCCACTGAACAGTCAAGAAACTCGAAAAAAGTGAAATAGCAAACGAGAGCTTATTACTGCAAAAAATACCTGGTCGGATTAACAAACTTCCAATAAGCTAGTTGAAAGCAAAAATGTTGATTCCAAGAGGATAATCAGCCACTCTGGTCCAGACATAGGCATTGATATTTTGTGTTCATTTAAGTTTCATCGATAGCCTCGTTAACAGCACAAAAACCGACTATAAAGGTATCTAACACTTGACTAATGAATAGACACCAACAATGCCGGCATAGGCAAAACTTGCAGAAAACAATGATCATATTAAGAACTATCGAAACCCTCGTGTAATTTGAGAGTCTGTAACAAAATGATCCAAGGAGGATATCACAAGGGAAAATTTTGGCCAACAGTGTAGCTTCAAGAGATTGCTAGTAAATCCTACTTATTTGGACAAAGATTTTCAGCTTCTTAACACTCCATATATGACTATTACACAAGAATGTCACGAATGTGTTCAAGTCCTATCATTCTACAAAGATATTCTTCATGTAATCTGTAAAAAATATATATATCTTAATCATGTCTTATTGAAACTGAACTTCTCACAGCTTCTCCCAATCCTTAGAATTACCTGTATTAGTTTTACAACTAAGTATCCCTCCACAGCTTTCTCCTCCACCATTAATTGAAGAGAAAAATTATCATAAATGCATATAAATAAATGTTAATACAACATTCGAGCGAAAATCTACATCTTTACATAAAATCTAAATTGCTACAGGTTACAAGTGTAAAGCATGAAGATTAAGGAGACAAAAAGAATGGGGAGACGAGGCTAACTGAAAAGTTAACTTATACTTTAAAACAAAAAGTACTAATTGTAGTTTTCAACCATTACCAGCCTTAATTATACCTTAATCGACAACCCTTTCCTCGATAATTCTATTATATTCATCACCAGATTAGCACTGTACTTCTAAGGCTGTTGCCATAAATATACTAATGCCAAATGCACAACCCTCGTGATGAACAAAATCGGTGGCTTTCTTTCAGATAAAGAAGCATAAAACAGTGCAACTTTATACAGTTCATGTAGATTTGAAGATTAAACAAAGTGAGGATTTGTATAAGCAACCAAATTAAATAGATGTACTAATCGTACTTAACATTCTTGAAGTACACATTGTCGGCATTATATAACCGCACAAACTATGCCAGGCTATAAACTTAAGGAGATCATAAGATAAATAATTAGATGTAAAACATGCAAAACCTAGGTAGCATGCACAAGATCAAGAATGTCACGTGAGACCAGTCAGATACCATGATCTTCTTTAATTTTATTATAAATTATAACTGCCTACATGACTTTTCTTACAGAGAAGACATAGCTTTAACTGCCAACGAATTGGAAATTAGACATTTCCCAATGTTTATTTCATTTATATCTTGCATCAACACTTGGCCAATCGTATCCATTGGAACTTGAAACATTTTTTTAGAGTAATCAGACATCTTTTAAAGCAATAACATCACATTTCAAGAAATCAAGATACGGATCAATTACTTCAAAACTGGAAGAGTATTTTTATTATTTTAATTTATTGGGCAAGTGGTGGAATATGAACAAACAATTAAGTACAACATAAGAGTACCTTCATCAACATGTCTTTCAATCAAATAAAAACCTTCCAACCGACAGAAAAAACAAAATACCATATAATCATAGTTGTCACACTATATTCTATCTCACAGATCGAAGAAAAAATAAATTCCTTTAAATACTAGAACAATGGTCTATGACCATTCAAAATGCAACGAGATTTTTGAATATCATAAATCTTATTGGGCCAAAGCTGTGGTCAAGTAATTTAAAACGAAACCAAAAATGTATCAAGAGGAGTATATTTCAGCCACACTTGAATAGAGTTTATCAAATTTTAGACTACGAAAATGTCATCTTTGACATGGTATTCAAATTTCGGTGAGCTAAAAGAGCATCTGCATTCTCTTATATGGTTCTTTTCCAAGATTTATTCGTCGAAAACAATTAAAAGAGACATACCTCAAACAATTAGATCAATGGCTAATTGCACAACCAAACTATTGTGGAAATAATTCAGACAGTCATAAAATTAGCCCAGATAATATTATGATCCAGAAGAATATTATGGAATTATTTCTGTATCTTTAACAGCAGTGAATCAACCCCTTCATGAAACTAAACTGAAAAAGGGAAAGGTTTCATCACTGTTGCAAGGCAGACTCCCTTGACTTTTTGTTCAAACTTCTAAGGAACTCTTTCCTATACTAACAGGAAAGACGCTTATTAGAATTATACCCAAATAATACACTTCAGATTCACAAATTCAATCAGAGTAAGAACTGTAAGGATAAAAAAACAGTCCCTAACTCAAGAAAGTGGATTCTTCCATTGTTAGGGTTTTGGTTAGTTATTATTTCATAGCCAAGGATTTTGATTATAAAAACTTGCGCCAAAATTCTTTAGCAATTACACAAGAACAACACAGAGAAGAACAAACATCATAAACTGAAGCACTGTGTGCGTGGGAGAGAGGCGCACCTTTGCAAAGATTGCCCAGTTGTGTTTCAATATTGTTGAGGAACGACGTTGCTTCATCAAAAGGCCTTGATAGATCCGACTTGTACTTCACCAATGTTTCGCAGTAGGTTTCCTAGAAAACAAGAAGGATTCAACACTTGATACAACTTGAAACCAGAAGTTCAACAGAAAAATTTGAAGGCGGAAAATTAAAAAATAAAAAATAAAAACTGTGTGATTGTAAGAGCGATCGACCATAAATTCGTCGAGCTCAGGATCCACTCCGAGGCATGTAGAAGTTCCATCTCGATTACAGAAGTCCTTTTCTCGTCTGATTTCATCCAGTAAACATGCTATTTCTGGGGGTGCCCCAACCTGAAATTGAACAAAATATGCAGCCGAATTCGTGTTAATGATCAAATATAACTTGAAACTGCAATTTGACGAGGAAGAAGATGGCTCTTTAGGCCAATATTCGATCATACAATCAAACGAAAAGAAAAGCCCTTAGAGCAAGTTTTGAAAGCTTAAACCTTTTGGCAATCGATATAAGCATCAAGCAACTTGGGGTATGATGGATGAGAAGCAATTTTAGTCTTGATCAAGCTCGAACCCTGTTCATCCTGATCATCCCCAGGGCCTGTTTCCCTCTGAATATTAACAGACGCCACATCTGATACCACAGAATACTGGAAACCACTTCCAGCAAAATCATCGGATCCAACCATTCCTGTTCGATGATGTTCATGATCAACTGATGATGAGATAAGGCTATAGTATTGCTGATGATACTCCGCCGGTATTATCAGATTCTCCGGTGACATCAACGCCTCGTCTGCATAGTCAGACGTCGAATGAAAGCCATACATTTCATCCATATGACCCTTGAAATCACAAGAATTATCAAAGAAGAAAATTGTTTCTCTAACACAACGACATTAAAATTCAAGGTAGTGTATATCTATATTATGTATGTGTGGAGATTTGTAGACTTCGATGAAGTGAGAGAAATGGTGGTGTTCGTGAAGAGAGATGCTCAATTCATGAGAGTGAGGCCCATTCTTTCCATTACTAAAATCGGAGCATTTCAACACACTTTCTGAATATAAAATCTCAAAATATAATAGAGTTAATATTAAAATAAGTTATAAGAGAATTTTTATTTTAACCTTTTGAAATAAAGAACGGATCTTTATTTTAGCCCTTGTTTGAGCTTCCTGCTTGCCAAAAAAATGCAATTTTAAATAGTATATTAATAAAAAATGTGTGAATAAAAAATAAAAAAAAATTAATTTACGTGTAATATTATTTTAATGAAGAATGTGTGGTTGAAATGAAATAAAATCACCGTTGAAAAATGTTTTTTAATGAAAATAATGGAACTCAAACAAATGTTAATTTACAAATATTGCATCTAATAAGCTTAGATTTTACTACTAACTTCTTGAATTATTCAAATCACATTTAAATTATTAGCCATTGACATATAAAAAATTATGTATAAAATATAAGAATAAATCAATAAATATTTATTGAGAAAGGTCAAATTAAGAATCCAAAAAGAGAGTACCGTTGAAATGTATAAAAATGTCTACTCTCTAAACTCAAATATGCTATCTATTATATAAAATACTCTTACTTATATATATAAGCATCGGTGCTTAACTTATGTTAAGTATCGGTGGTATGGTACACCATTTAATTGGCGAATCATTAAATACATGAGACTTACCATTAACTTATTTATCAATTAAATGTTGTGACATGTTGTCGATACTTAACATAAGCTAAGCATGAATGCTTTAGAGATTATTTTCGTATAAAGAATCACTTGGATTTGCTCTTAATTATGTACTTCCATTGATTTTTTTGAACTTATTGCTTGTTGTAGCATTAGTATTCATTTTGTTTTAAAACATTTTCAAGAGACTATTTAAATATAAGTTATTCTTTATTTTAAAGAGTCAACTCTTAAAATTATGTTTAATAGACTCTTCAAATTAATATTTAAAAATAAAGAATGATTTTTGCTCTTCAAATTTCGAGAGTCAAATCACTCTCTATAATTAAATTCATTCAAAGTATTTCAATTTTCAATAAAGACAAATAATATAATAATTTGGAGAGAAACTAGTTAAAATAAAAAATTGAAAAAAGCAATAACTATTTTTTGGGCTACATTTAGTAATATATTTTTTAAGTATAAAAATTCAAATTATTTTTTATCCATGCATTTTGAAAGATCCATAAATATTATTCGCAACTCACTTATATCTATTTATAATTTAAATTATTCATGAACACTTCTCAAACATTCTCAAATAGAATAAGAAAAAACTACATTGCCTCTGTTTGGAAAGGATTTATAAATAGATAAAAATTAAAAGTTGATAAGTCAATAGAACTCGTGAGTTCATTGGATCATGTGTTATTGAATATGATTTTAGCCATTTATAAATATGATTATAGCCATTTATAAATGATTTAGGCTTGAACCAAATCATCCTTATCCATGGAGAAGTCTCCAAAGCACTAAATAGCATTGACAACCAAATGATTGAGAAACAGTTATTCAGTTTCAACTTTCATTAATTAACTTTGAAGCATGTTCTGAAATTTCCATTGTGCTCGTAATTCTTTAGAGTTGTTTAATTTCTTGTTTCTTGGTTTTTTTCATTGACTTAAGGTAGCTTTACTTTTCTCTACTAAGCTGAGTTCGTGATTGCCAAAAAGAAATGAAGAGCAATCCTCTCATAAGATACCTTGCATCTGGATTACCCTGTTTGGGCTCCATTATTCCACATTTTAACGAGGAAAATAGTAATTTTTTGGAAAAATATGTGGTTGAAAAAGAAGGTAAAATCTTTACGTGTAATATTATTTTATTAACAAATATATGATTGATAAGAGAAAGAAAAAAATGAAGTTTAATTTAATGAAACCAAACAGGGGCTAAATTTCGTTACCTAACTCAGGTGCACTATATATAATATTTATTACTATAAAAAACAGCCGCAGTTCAGCACTAAAAACTTTATTGCATGATTGACATTGGTGCAACAGGCTAGAGCACCACACATGTATCGAATTTTAAAAAGATTGAACTCCAATCTTCAGTGTCCCCATCGTTCCATCGTTAGAGCATCATAAGGGAGGTAAATCGAGAAATGTGCTCTAATAAGTCAGGAAACAAGAGTTTGTCTATACACTGGTGCCCACTAAGAGTCCAATTTCATATCTCAGGAATCGAACCCTCACACTGCGGCTGTCAACAAAGTTGAGACTATCTCACTCCTGTTCTTTGCATCACTAAGTTATGGCCCGGGTGCCACATGTATCGAATTTTAATATCACAGCTGATGGTAAGATTTTTAAATTTTCTCATACTACTTCTTTTACCGTTCCCCAATTGTAAATGTAAAAAACAAACTACCAACAATAAAAAGGTAGTGCTATTAATATATATTTTTTTTTAAGTCCTACTTTATTGTAGTATAAGCTTTTGCGTGTTATTTTGAATTGCAACTACTAATAAAATTTGAAGCATGAGCAAATTCATATGCACATATAGTATCTTTTTAAGACAATCTTAACTTTGCGCCGTAATTAGGATTGGGGATTATGCCCATTTATTCCCTAATATATAAAAATGCACAGTAAGGGTTAACTGCACCAACAATTGATCCCATATCCTTTTTGCTTTCTGCACTCGAACCTAATTCAAAAAATTAAAAGAATCTCTCTCTTCACCTCCAAACATTTTATTCCTTTTTTTTCCCCCCTTACCACACTTAAATGAATAGTGGAAATAGATTATATTGACATGCATAGAAGCTTTCTAAGGAAAACTATTTAAAGTTTGAGGGGACAATTGTCACATTACCACCTTAAAGGGTTAGAAATGGAAGCACTTCTGTTTATGATAAAAGTTAAGTTTCAAATCATGTTCTAGCATACTCGAAATAAAATTTTATAAATATTATCCAACCTTCAACGTAAGATCAATTTTAATCTTCATTTTTGAATTTTGGCTCTATTATCTTCTCCACCTCCGCAATAACGACCATCCCTTACCTCACCTTTCCTAGCACGTTGGTAGATCTCAATAGAGTAATCCACAAAGGCCGGCAATATAGGTATATCTATTTTGTTCCTAGGCTCACATGTGATGCATAACGAAACAAGAAAGGTTGAGGTGGGGATAAGGTTGTCTCAAGAAAAGTGGCATAATGAATATTAGGATTGTGCAAAATAATCATGCTAAATATTGAACGAGTGAAAATTATTCGAAGATTTACAAGTATAACTAAATTTTTAATATGAATATCTAATTAGTAATATATTTTCTCATAGTTCAACAATTTTTTTTTACAGTATTCTCCCTCTATTACTTCTAACTAGAAAATATATATATATATATATATATATATAAGGTAAAATATGAAAGAGACGATGATTTAGGATATATCAAAAAAGAAGCCAAACTATTTAAATAAATAAACAAACAAATAAATAAAAATTGAATTAAGTAATAGAAGACTGTGATTTCAAACTTGTTAGAAGAAGTTACAACATAAAGTTATTCTACCTTTACTCGAGTTTATTAAAATATGTTAATTGATTTGCATGAATAAGGTATAACATGCTGCTGTAAAGGAAAATTCTCTATCATATAAAATTAGAATAAGAAAAATACCCTCTTTAAATAAATGGAAAATTCCTTTTCCAAAAAAAAAAAAACTAAAGCTTCAATAGGTACATCAAACAGCCCACTTGTAGTAAAAAAATAGTGTTTATTTTGGTTCTTTTACTAATTTAAAAACAATGAATTCAGTCTAATTTCCGATATTCAAAATGTAGATATATATGGAATTAATTGCTTATATTTGATGAAAAAAATTAAATTTGAGTGAAAACACTGTAGAAGATCAAATATAAATCAATATAATTATCTAAATTATTTAATTTATGAAAGTGAAAAATACTATAATTTGAGTGTTGAATTTGTTGTATAAGATTGTTTTTTGAAAAAAGACATATAAACCTCAATCAAACTCGAAATAGAGACTAAACATGTGAACATCCATGTAACATTAATTGAATATGAACTTTATTATTTGTTTTTGTTAGTATAAGCATGAATCTTATTCAAAAGGTGCCTTATTCCCAAACTTCTTTGACTTCAAACTGACCCAAATATTAGGGGATTTTTTATATATTAAATTTTACTTATATCTTATAATTATATTATTTAAGAATATATACGAAATATATATTAATTTTGTTATTAGTTGGTTTACAAGTATAATAAATATTCAAAGCTATTAAATTCTAATCATTAATTTAATGTCAATTGCATTTTGTGTACAGAATTAAAAGGTTGAACCCCAACCTTAAGGGTCCCCCACCTCCCCTGTCTTGGAGTATCGTGAGGGAGGTAAATCGCAGATTATGCCTCCAACGATATAGAGTGGAAGACTGCTTGTACACTTGCACTTACCCAAAAGCCAAATCCATATTTCAGGATTCGAACCCTTGACGCGGCAACTTCAAGCAAAGTTGAATTTCTCCACTTTCCCCTTTTACCACTTGAAAATGTGCCCTGGGGACGACTTTGTGTACGAAATTGATTTCATGGAGGTTAAACAAGGCACACCGCACACACAATGAGAGGAGTGCGTGGGTACTTTGGACCCCATGTCAGTAATTTGGAATTTTTCTGTCAAATATTATTTTATACACACAGAATAATTGATTTAATGTTGGGAAAGACTTATGATGATTTATTCGACTCAATTCGAGCAAAATTTCAATACATAAAATTTCATTGACCAAATATAATTAGAACATTGTCATATTAGCCTTTGATAGCGTAAATAAAGCATCTCAAGACTCACGAGTTCCGAAAGCATGCCACGCTAGGAGCCTATTTGACAATCATTATTGTAGAAAAAAGATTTTGAATAGTGATTTTTAAGAGAATGTGCGGTTAAAAATAAGAAAAAAAATTTGGTATACACGAAGAATATTTTTTTGTGTAAATGTATAATTGAAAATGATCATGTAGTAAATCATAAGAAAAATTAACGGTTGTCAAACAGGCCT